GATTTTTTGCTTGTTTCCTGGCGAATGGTATCATATTCCAATATGGCCAGCCTGGAAAGTCTCTGCAAGTACTCAGACGGAGCTCCAGTGAGAGGGTCACTGAAGCCAGAATCTAGAGGGAAAAACAGCTACTAAGATTAGATTAAACATGCATGAATAATTCTATGAAATAGAGTGAGGGAAATAATTATTCTATAAATGACTATAAAACATACAAGATCTTTGTATAATACCAACTTTGAAAAAGAAGCCCCAATGCCTACTTTCTAAAACGTCTCCTGTGACTACAACAGCAAGTCACTCCAAAAAATATTTACTAAAGCTGGGCATAGTGGCACATGCCTGCAATCCCAGCACCAGGGGGCTGACACAGGAGGACTACAAGTTCAAGGCAGCCTGGGAAACTTAGCAACTCAAGGAGAACCCTATGGGAAAAACAAAAACAAAAAAGAAGGGGAGTTCAAGCCTCCAGTACCACCACCACAAAGAAAAAAAAAAAAAAAAGAATCAAACAAAATATAGTATGACAACCTTCATCAATTAAGGAAAATATTTGACAACATTAAGCTCTCACTTATGAGAAAGAAAATCAAAGGCAACTTCTTTCACTTATTAAGGAGACCTACTCCACACCTACAGCAAGCACCATTCCTACTGAAAGATATTAAAGCTAGCCAGATAGCTCAGCAGACTAAAGCACCTGGTTGGGCGGAGCGCAGCGGCTGGGTTTGATCCCCAGGATGCCCTGCTGGCCCCACCCCGAGGCACACTGAGACAGCAACTGAGACTGGGTATGGTGGTGTGGCCTGTAATCCCAGTGCTTGGGAGGCTGAACACAGGAGGGTCACTAGGAGTCAAATCTGTGTAGTGAGACCCTGTAGACTCTGTACTAAATACATTAAAAAAGAAAAAGATATTAAAGGCATTCCCTCTGTCAGAAACAAGCAAGGATGTCTACTGCTCATTTCTGTCTTGGGTTTCATTGGTGGTGCTAGCCAACTTGGAAAGAAAATTCCATCTCCAATTTTCACCCTCTTCTTAAAAATTAATTTATTTTTAAAATTAAGCTTACTGGTACATTTTAGATATACTATGTACATCTATATATGATTATATTCAATATAGGGAATTTAATACCAGTATATGATATATTTTGACTCCTCTTTTTTCCTGTCCCCTCTCCTTCCTTCATTCCTTCTAACCCTCCTTATCTACAAAGACTTGTTTTCATATTATCCTGTTATAGTCTTTTTTTCCCTTTTCCCTTCCTTCCCCTCATATACCTAGTTCCTCTTTCCTTTTAAACAATTTCTTCCCATTTCACAATATTGTACATTTTGGTCTTTATTCTTTTAAATTTCTTGTACCAGAGTATTTATTTATTTATTTATTTATTTATTCATTTATTTGTATTTAGGACAGGGTGTGCAGGGTCTCACTGGGCAGATCAGACTCATAGTGACCCTCCTGTTTTACAGCCTCCCAAGCGCTGGCATTACAGGTGCGTGTCACCACGCCCAGTCTCAATCACCATCTCAGCGCGCCACAGGGGCAGGGCCGGCATGGCAGGCCTGGGGATCGAACTCCTGACCACTGCGTCTGCCTAAGAAGGCGCTTTAATCTGCTGAGCTATTTGGCTGGCCCAGTACCAGAGTTTTTAGAAAAGCACTGATCTGGGCTGGGGATATAGCTCAGCAGCATAAGTGCATGCCTGGCAAGCACAAGGTCCTAAGTTTGATCCTTGTTACCACAGGAAAGAGAGAGAGAGAGAGAGAGAGAGAGAGAGAGAGAGAGAGAGAG